GATCATCGTGCCAGGAGTTGATTGCAGTAAGCTCAGTGGGATGCCGTCATGCAGATTCGAAGTCACCGGGATCAGAAGAAAGGTAACAGCTCCTTTAATTGCAGCGTCTTGTTCGGCGACAGTTTCTAAAGTGCATTAACACCATTTTTGCTCTTGGAAACAGACGAACTAGAGGACCATACCTTTCTAAAAATAGGGCGCTATGATTGCACGTTTGAAATGCAGTTCGTAGAGTCTCCTCGAGACGCCGGCTTATACCCTTAGCAGGGATTTTTCTGGCGAGTGCCGCCTAAAAGTGAAGAGATGCCCCAGCGGCGTAAGTGGGATTACACCAATCCTACCTTCGACACACGACAGTACATAACGCCACCTAGAGAGTCGAAAATTGTGGACGATATTTGCAGCAAATCTGCATAAATTAACAACCGAAAGCTTTGGACGTGCGTGCTTATTATGCAACATGGGGACTTTCTTGGTGCACTTTTGGCTTGTCGTTGCAGTGGAGTGCAATAAATCATTAGTTTCTTTTAGGAGTGTACGAAAAATGGCCACTGCCCTTTACCAATTCACAAGACACAAATTATGGCAATGCAATTTTTGCACGGCCTGTACTCCCACGCTTCCCTTAGCTGCGGAGAAACATGCAAAGTTAATCGACATACGAAATACGGTCGACAATTACAGCCACATTTTCAAATTGCTAATCGATAATGGCAGTTTACGCTTCAACAAAGGAGAGCCGACCCAGGTCTCCGAAAAGTCAGCGAACACAAAAACGCATTCCGCTGAACAGTATAAAAGAAGACCTTGCAGGAGTAAAAAATGCATTTTTAGAGGGAAATAATAACAAAGACATGGGAGACCGAGATGGCTATTTCCGACCTATTAGCCCAACCCCAGGCTTAGGTAACCTTGGTTTAAAACCCTGATTCATTGATCATTAAATGTTAATTTCAAAACCCTACTAATTAGCCACGAGTCCGTTGTCCTGGTGGTTGTGACTGGAAGTAATCACTAGCGCGGGAAAGGGGTCATCGGTCGAGTTGTTTTTACTAAACCGAATCACGTAAAGTAGTATCATGAGAAATTCGTGCTACGTTTTAAAAAATTGAAACCAACTAAACGGCTACTTCGAGATTAAAACGTTCATAATACATGTGTAGGCTTTCCACTGAGAAAGTTCTAATGTTTCCGTAGGGTTCCAGTTGCATAACATTCTGAAACATTGGAGGCGGGGGGGCTTCGAGGCGCAGTAAGTCCTGTGTACATATGACAGTCTAACCACCGTGTGCTCCACAGCCAGGTTGTGCAGGAACGGTGGATTAATTTTAAGTGGTAGTAGACTTGAGTTACATGTACCCTACTCTCCCTTCCATCATCTGTCTGTACTCGGTGGCATGACCAAGTCAAAACACCGGAGGCAAGATTGGGCACGTGAGGCAAGCGCGGTAGCAGCCGGAGCCGTCAACACTGGTTCAGATTCTACAGAGTGGGAGTTCCACAAAGGGCACTGGTGGCT